ATGATTATCACTGACCCAACACAATGCTAAATTTTTCAAAAAAAAAAAAATTAGACCCGCGATCAAAAAAAGTTTGCCGACCACTGCTCTAGATGATAAAACTTTATGACTGAGAGATTACGCTCTAAAACTTGGCGCCAGTATTTTTTCTGTGACTCCATCTGCTCTGTTAAAGTCTTGTCCATTCATCTGTTTTTGGTTTTAGGAATAAAAAATTTGGTGACTCAACACTGATGCAGCGAGCTTGTTCGTGCCGATTTAACTCCTTAACTTTTTTCCAGTCTTAGTAACCAGTTGTTGTTGTTGCGATGAAGTTTCCATTGCAGCTAGAAACAATTTGTTTATAACGCAGAAGATGTTACCCTTCAGCGGTGAGTAGCAAAGCCAGTCTTTTTTAACATTCAACTGTTAGCGATAGAAAAAGAGTTATTGAGCATTGACATTTATACCCGGAATCGATTTTGTAGATGCGCTGGGCAAAGGTAATTTCCGACACACAAACAAAATATCTCATTTTCTCAAAAACTGTGTCCATGTCCCAATGTCGAATGTAAAAGATTGGCTAGTATCATCATCCCCATAGCAATAAATTATTTCTTCCTGTTGGTAGGAGATCGATTCAGTTTGATGAGGTTGACAGTCATCAGCATCATGAGTTGTAGTCTATGCATGACTGATTTCACAGTCTTGGTTGTCAGTTATATTTTAGGCACTTTCTTACTGAGGGCAAGGGTTCGATTTGATATGATGAGGTTGACGGTCATCAGCATCCAGAGATCTAGTATCTACATTGTTGTTTCCACTTCTTGGTTGGTGAGGGTTTAGGCACTAGAGAACGAAACCTATAAATCCGTTAGCTTCCTAGTTTTAGCTATTACTTTCTCTAAATCTTTCAATAAGATTGACATTTAATAAATAATATGTGTGTGTATGTATAAGCGTACTTGTGTGAGAGAGATATATATGTCAGAATGAGTTATCTAATAGTTTCGTAACAAGTGATTACATATCATATTCTGAACTTAACTCAAACATTTCATAATTACGTACTTGGATTTACCTTCTCTTGTGAGACTAGAATCAAAGTTCAGCTCTTTAAAACTTGTGCTATCTGCCAGAATCTTTATCCAAAATAACTACACCATCGTCTTTATCGAATTTAGAAATACCAAATATTTCAGAAAATTTAAATGCTTAAAATAACGTATCTCTCAGTAAGGCCCCCAGTGGCACAGCGGTATGTCTGCGGACTTA